GAGGAATATCCTAACACTCTGTAAACTGCCTTCGCTAGGAAGATCCTAGTAGACTAGGGACAAACCACACAAAAATAGCGGCGGGTCGTTCCGTGTGGATCATCACGTGGCAATAAGGGACAACAATTTCGTTTGGAGTTACCAGTTGTAAAGAACTGCCAGTTCCCACTGAAAGGAGTAGTAACGAGGGCAGAAAGGCCTAAACTGCACTGTTTGTTATTGTCGCTCGCCATAATTCCCGCTCTACTTTGTATCACCACACGGAACAATGTTTCTGCATGTAAACCCCCAAAAAAGTTGTTCCGCCTTTTTAGATCTTTCTCCCTCCATGTAAACAGCCACCTAGAACAGGGACACCCAACGACCGAATGTTTCCAAATACACTTGAAGTGTCTCAGATGGTTTTCTCTATGCTTTAGAAGCCTGTTTGATTAATTTAGAGTTGCGCTAAAAACTATTTATCTGTTCGGATCGATGTCTGAGGGGAACTTTGGTTGTCACGAAAGTCTTAGGTAGCGTTTTCGTCTCAACCGAAAGTATTAGCTACCCTTCCGGGTCCGGTCGAAAGCTTGAGGACATGAAGTAACCTTGCTTTCATGAGAAAATTATAGGGGACGTTTTGTCTTTATACCGAAAGTTTTAGGAGACCTTTTTTAACAATAATCGCAATATCTTGGTATTAAAATGTGAATAACACGAGCTAAGAAAATCGTAGATAAGCTCTTAGAAAACCTCCGAAGATTTTAGACGAATGGAACGGTTATTCAGAAATTTTTAGCTATTCTTAACCTTGAAATTTCTAGGTAACATTCGCTCCTTTGAACAGTTATTTTACTGAGAAAAAAGCTTAAGTCGCTGGGCGCCCCTGTTAGAATCCAGGATCTGGGTGTAAATCAGTTATTTTCGGACATCAGCGTGTTTAATATTTTGCAACATCTGCAATATACAGTCTTACACGTTCGAGCACGATCAGCTGTCGTGTCCCTTGACAATAGTATCAAAGACTTTCAAGCAGTTTATTTATACATTGAGCCAGATATCTAACTTAAAAGCCAAAATTTGACACAATAAAAATGGAAAATGAAGAAAAGTTTTTTAAAAAGTACGTACGACGATACTGGCCATATCGGCCTAGTGTTAATACCACTAAACTTTTGCACAAAAAAACGTGACTGAATTGCGAGGAAGAGGAAATAAAAGCTACGGACGCAAAGATTAACCACGTTTGGTAACCAAGTGATACGAAGATTTTTTTAAAGTAAAATTTACAATTTCACCATAAAAAATCAAAACAAACCATCAAGCTAAACTGATCCAAAACTAGAAGCATTAAAAATAAGTTAGACCACAATCGAAAGGAGGAAGACATTTCTGCAGCGTTAAGTTAGGCAACCGTACAATAATTGTCTGTTGCTGAGTCAGGGCGAACAGCCGACTAGAGCGCCAGATCGGGACGCCGGAATGAAGCGAGAATGCAACTGTAGTTCTGCTGAAACTCACACCTAATCCCCAACCCTCTTCCCCCTGTTCCCCCTCGGAAAATAATCAAATAATCAAATAACCGTACCTTTTATTCTAGGCATAAACGTCCAGCGTCTACGAACCATTCAAAACTTGACAAAACTAATTCAGTTCTTCAGTATCTATGAGAAAGGTTGCAGAACAAGACCTTTTCACTTCGTAACTAATATGAGCACAACTTAAGCTTCCAAAATTAAGTTCAAGGCAATCAAATTAAATCGGTTTAATACCGTGATATCTTTACTCCTGAGCACAATACTGGTTCTTATTTACTTTATTTATTGCCACAATATTGTCGTTAATTGCCGTTTCAGCAGCCAACGTATTTTCGCTTGAACACGTAAAAGACTGTATTGCTCAACTAAAGTGTAGACTTAGAAGGTTCTTGATAGAATGCCTATAAGGGTCAAACAATGTATTATTTAATGCCCTTCCTTAATTTTCTTGATTTGGCATTTATTTTGTAATTATTATTTAAAATTTTCCTCGTGGATCATAATTATATATTTCTTCAAGATATTAAAGATAAAAATATCCCTGTTTCCATGATCTCAGTAGCCGGATATTGACCAATAAAACCGAGCTACTTACACTTAAATTGTGCCTGAGAATATCATCGACACGGCACTCCAAGCAGTTCCGCGGTTTCGGCTACCAAAGATTCTGGCACAAATCTAGAACAATTAGCACAACGCGTGAGGAGACTTTTGGTAGTTTGGTTTGGTACCGCAACTTCTCTTCTTATTGTTGCTATTGTTGTTGTTGCTGTTTATGTTTTTGCAAAATGATGGCATATATATTGCTCTTGTCCCTGTATAGTTATAACTTTATTAAAACTCTACGCTTGGATTTGGACGAAGTCCACTCGAATCCTTTTAATATAAAATCAAACAACTATACATACTTATGGCTTCCGTCCAAGTGTGAATGATATGGATTATACTATCTCATGAACGGATGTTTTCGAAAACGACCTCCATAGAGAAGAATTTTGTCGACGATGAATATCGCTCTTGTTTTGACAACAGTTAATGCCCAACACGTTACTGGGATTGAATTTGTAGCGATAATACGAGCTGCCTGGGCCGGGGGGGTACTCAACAAAGTTTTATATGGGGAGGCTCGCCCCGTGGTCCAACCCCTTGCCTTTTACATACCATTTCTGGGGAAAAGGGTAGCCCTTTTGGGCTTTTTACAGACCGAAATGACAGATTTCCCTGCCATTTCATATACTTCAACTAGTGAAACCCTAACCTTTTTCATATACCTGAAGATTGAAAGTGGTATCCCTTTCGGCAAGACCCTCCCCGTATAGGCAGTTGTAGGGAGGAACCCCCTCCCCCGGGGGGACAAATGAACCCTCGTTTAAAAACGACAGGGAAGCTATTCGGAAAATTGGAATGAAACCTCTAAAAGAGACTAATCTGAACGTGGCTCTGGCTTTGTAAGGAGATCTTACTCCTGACACGGTATGCTAGTTTGTAATGTCTCGACGCACAGCAGAAGTGATACCTTTATGAGTAAAGATCTTGGCTTTGGAGAGCTAAGTGTGAAACCAAAATCTCTGATCTGGTTTGCATCGGATATGAACATTTTGACCTAATTTGAATGGAAAGGAGCTGAGGGTGCAAAATAAGTTACAACAAAGGCACCCGGCTGAACGATTGTTCCCTATATCTTCAACTAGCGTGGTGTTCATCAGTATCGCAGTCTTTATGCCATCTGGAATAAAGGTATCGTGAACGTTTACGGGCCTTTTTAATGCTGTCTTGTGATTTCATGATTTCAGTAGTTGCTCATAGCATAAACAAAAACGCAATAGAAATGCAACTGAATTTGGTACAAACTGAGACTTTTCAAGTTCGAGCACACATAAAGCAATTAAGATGCTACGGTTAAATGAAGTCCATAGTCCCGGGTCCATAGTTCCAAGATTTAGAAATGCTACCAGTCAGTGACTACTCAGAGAAACTCTGGCAATTACTTTTTCAATTTTTTAAGAACTATCCTGACACCCTGCTTGTCTGCATCGGTTATTGTAGCAATGCAGTACAAAGTATAGTTGTCATGAAATCACGTTTTTCGTTCGCCCACACCCCTACAAATATTAGGCGCTGGAGGTACTCCTGATGTAAACGGAAAATCTACGGGATCGAAGAAAGAAGTGTTCTTTCAAACCCTCAAGTCGAAGTAGTTTATGAAATTCATTTATTCGCTTTCAAACATACAGAATTTAAGACGACAAGATCGCTTTAACCTACGTCAAAGAATAGGGAATTGGAACAAAAGTCACCCCATCTGTAGCTTTCAGTTTAGTTAGATATCAAGCTTAGTTAGAAATCGGCAATAATTCATGATCACGTAAAAGATCTTCAGAGAAGTACTTAGTATAATCTACTTTGTTAAGTAGATCAATTGAAAAAATTACTAACAGCTCTATGAGTAATACCAACTTACCTGCTAATTCCCCTTCCTCATCCAAGTGAAAACTGTGATACCCCGATGAATTACGCATAAGGAGGTACAGAACCCGTCACACACAGTAACGCTAAAAAATATTGTTGATGAAGGTCAAGATATAACGGATTGGCTGGGAAAAAACAAACTAGCAATAAAACACGACTGTTTTCTATTCCACGACTTATTTTAGTGTTTTTGAAAATTCTATAGCTTCAAACACGTTTTCTTTTTTAAGGTGAAGAATGAGAATATTGCTTTTAGAATAAAATTATCATTGTTAAATCCAACATCATAGTTGTGGCTAAAAATACTGTTTGTGTCGCTGATACGCGGCAAAAGAAGAACTGGAGAGGTGCAATATTGCTACTATAAATAAAGTAAGTTTACTTTGCATGTTACATAACCGTTAAAACCGGAAACTCATTTTCATAATGTCACTATCTAAATGATTGCTGAGTACAGCAATCCTGTTTAAATCGTCTGTGATGTAAACAGGCTCTTACATGACGTCACGTCCGCCATATTGTATCCCAAAACAATACGAAGGCGGCAATGTTAATGTTGGTGTCCTAAATGACCTAAATCAATCCCTTAGACTGACGTGGGAGTTGAACCTTTTTATTATATAAGCAGTTTCTTCCGTTCCATTACATTTGCCAAGCTGCTGGCCACGTGAGTAAAAACGATCTATTCGGCGAGATAGGCGCCTACAAAGTCGAGCGCGGCCCAGAGGGAAGCTAGTCACGTGGGGGCGGGGAACATTACGGGACTCCGATCCGAGCGGCCGCGAAGGAAACTAGAGGAGAGTTTTTAAATTCCTAGACTGCAAAACAGTCCGTATTGTTACGTTAAACATAAGGTCTGGAACGAGGCGGAAAATAGAGAGCGAGACTGGGGAGAGATGCTAAAAATACGTTTTTTTTTCCTATCGCCTGACACGCCCAGCTCGCGCTTCGCGCGCATAAGACTCTTACGCCAAGCTTTACCGATTTCTGTACTGATTTTGAGAAAAAAAAAAACGACTGTCTTGCAGTCTATTCAATTCCCAAACACGCTCGCAAGTTATAGAAAGTTTACAGACGCTGATGTGACAAACACAAAGCACGCAAAATATAAGCCAGCAAATGATACCTTAATATTGTACACACCACAACACTTTATGCACTTTACTCAGACATTAACTTTATCCTTGACATGTTCAAATTCAGTTCCATTATTTGAATGAACTCTTAAAACAAAGTACATGTTACAATAGCCAGTTTAACTGAGGTTAGCATTAAGGTAACATCGGCTGAAGTCAGATTGTTTCTTTGCGTAAAATTACATGAAGAACAACTTAAGTCCAACTTTACTGTGTAATATAAATGAAATAGAAAAAATCCACTGTAATTCTTTGAACCCTGGTCACCTGCTTTATAGCCTACATCCATATCCACTACACATCGAGGACTAGCTGCCAAATCCAATAATTTTTAAAATAAACATGTTCTTATATATGCCGCACCCCATTACAATATTTGAAAGCTAACCGTTTTCAGTTCAGTGCTTAACCCTAATCACTGCAGATCAGTGCTTAACTCTCTACTGTGTTCTCTCTATAACTGGCGCTCTGTAGTTTTGGTTTCTTCAACTATTCTAGCCTCATTCTACATTCCAGCCTCGTTCCATTATGGAAATAATGCGTTGTGTAAAATTCACAAGGTGTCCAATCTGGCTTCACTCGATGTTATCTAACGCTAACCTTTAACTGATATCTCCGGGACCATAGCCTGGGCACAGCTACCGCCTCCCCTCAAAAACTCGGAGAAATGGGTAGTTTCCCTTCTCTCCCCGATTTCTTTTTACGGGAGGGGGGGGGGCAGCTGTACACAGGCTATCGCGACCACAACGAAAAAAATGCTCCATATTATGACAGTCTGTTCTCTTTTTACAATACATGCACTTCGACGTTTAAAATTATTTAGTTACGTTGTGACCATTTCACTGTCAGTGGGTTGGCCAATACGTGAGCTCTACTGGTCCTTTCAAGTGGAGTTTTCATGCTATCTTTCCTCGGCAAGGGTCTCGGTACTAGCGGGCTTTTCCGATAAATGCTTGTTCAGTCCTCGTCTGTTGCGGGCGATCTCGACTGCGTAGAACTGGATCCTTGTAACTACAAATTAAAAGGTTAGAGGAAATTAATATCGTACCCTTTCACTTCCGTATATAATCACAGAGACAAGAAATTCTGATGTTAGAGCTGTGGACAATACCCTATGGTGTCACCATTGAAATAAAACCTCTTTGAAAGGCCATTCACATGGTGCAATTAGGTTGAGGAAACAGCCGACATCATCGACGACACCTCTAGTTTCCCGCGAAATGACGTCTGAGAAACGAGCCAAGAAATTCCATACTGATGACGTGTCCCTACAAAGATCTGGGTGGCGCTTCTGATTGGATGAAGCAAATTTTCAACCAGTCAGAAGCACTAACAGGTCTGAGTATCGTTCCTCAGAAGTCATTTTGCGAGGCAACCACAGGTGGCGTCGCTAAATGTCGGCTGTTTTCTCAAGCTAATGGCGCAATTGATTGCGTAGTATTAATAGTTCTATCTTTTGAGAGTCTATAGACAAAACCCTGTCATATTTCCATTCAAATGAAACCTTGTTTGTATTCAGTATTTTAAAAAAATGAAATTTGCAATTTTTCTTTGAGTCACTTGGCAATCTTGGGATTGGGAGGGCAGTGGTGCTCTTCAATCGTTGTCCGTTAGCATGTTTTCGACTTAACTCTAAACTTGTAAGTATCGGCCATTTTGCAGTTTCGCGTAAGACTGGGTCAGTTTTGTATCGAATTGCTCCTGGGGAAAACTGGGTCAAAATTCGTCCCCCAAATCAGTCTCATCCCAAAGACTACGGACCCAAATTACACGCAACCTTAAGACGGCCGATTACAAGGTCATTACTCACCTAAGATGGTATTTTCTTCATCATATCCTTTATTACAATCAATTCTGAAGAGAAATACCGAAATGAAGAAGAGGAAGACATCAGGGAAGCTTGTACAATCAAAGCGGGCATTCCTAATATTACTATTACTTAGGTGGCTCTCGACCCAAGAACGGGCGCTTGAATCATGTTTTCATTTTTAATGAGTTTTAATTTTCTTTTTCTCCGTGCAGAAAGTAGATTTGTGCAAAAAAATATCTTCTGCTACAATTAAAATAAACCGAGACACTTATTCTAAAAAGAGAAGATCAAAAACCAGCACAGAATATCGTTAAGTGAATATGCTGTTTTCACAAAACTAAACAAATAGAGTCAAGAAAGAAGGCGTAAAACTTGCCATGATTGAAAGTGATGCGTCCGAAGCAAGCTAAAATATAGCTCTTCAAAGTCGTGTAATTATTTTACATCCCTTTGCAAAATTTCACGACATTGCTGAGCTACATCTTCAGTAGCTTTCAACAAATCACTTCCAAACTAGGCAACTTTAGGCCCGGTTCAGACGCCGAACTTTTCATGAGCCGAACCTAATACATTGAATTAAGTACATGAAAAGTTCGGCGTCTGAATCAATTAGGAACGCCTGTTTCAATTTGGAACTGCTCAGCCGTTCTTTTCGCCTGGCCTGACCGGGAATTTCGCCTTTGGAGCGACTTTGGAACGACTTTGATTCAGACGGCGAACTTTTCATGTACCGAACCTAATTATGCACAAATTATAATAACGTATTTTGTAAGCAGTTTGACCGAAATGAGCATTTTTCGCCTTTTGAACTTAGTTCACCTCCAATTAATTCGGCCTTAATTCGAATTAGGTTCGGCTCATGAAACGTTCGGCGTCTGAACCGGCCCTTAGTGACCAAAAGGTGTTCCTTCCAGCAGCGTCAGTGGATTTCCGCTGACTGGCCCATGTTAAAAGCTGAAATAGCCGTGAAAGGGTCTATTCCGTTTGGAATTGGAGGCCCAATTTGAAAGATTAGATCTTGTCTTAGATTTTGGCTGCTCGCATCTAGCCTTGGTGTAAGGAACTGTTAGATTGGATACGTTTCTCTTGGTTGGATAGAAGATTTACTCACCTGAGAAGGGTTCCAAAATTGAAGTCTTCTACCTTCCCTTCATACATGTTACAAAATGGTCTCCATTTCTGAGGAGATACAGAATAGTAGTGTTTTTTACATTTATTAGTGCGTTAATTGTTATGGACCTAATAGTTATTTAGTTTAATAAAAACCTAGCATCAGTAAATGTGTTTTTGGTAGCCACTTGCACTCAGATTGACCAGTTGCCCGTAGATTTCTTTCTCCTGTTGTTCTCGAAGGATAGGGGTTGATACAGGTTTTGAAGAAGTGGCCATTTTTGTGTAACTTCCTACAAACCGTGCCTGAACCTGAGAACATGTGTCTGTTTTGGTTTAACTAGCTCTGAAGCAGGTTTGACTGGCTATAGTTGGTATTTTTGTGAGCAGTTCTATTGGCATGCTTGATTCTGGAAAGATGACAGAGCTGAAGATTACAGCTGTTACCCTACTGAATCACACCTAACTCATCTTTGGAACATGCGCAAACATTTTCGATATTTCCTGTAAAACTTAGTGTAAATCTTGCTTGAAAGTAGAGGAAGTGTTGAGTAACAGAAGCACCAGTCCCAACTGAGTCACAACTAAGGAATCAAATAAAGCCGTGTTTAAACACGAAGCAAAGACCTGGTAGCCTGCATAGCTTATCCCACCAGCTGTGAGTCCCAGTGTGCCTTTCACTTTTGCTGAACAGGTTGTGCCTTAAAAATATTGCGAGATGAAGGGTCTAGATGGTTACATGTTGAACTTCAGATATGACAGTTACTTCACGTAGTTTGATCACAGGTACCCCAAGGCCGTAAGTGAGAATAGTTGATGTGTAACAGAAATATTACAAAGGTTTGGATGGGGATTTAAGCAATCATTATTTTGAGGTCAAGAAAAGTAATAAAAAGCCATCATATTTTTTTAGCTAATCTCCTCGTTTAAATTTATAATGTAGTCTTAGCATATTTGGCCAATTCAGAGTGATTCCAGCAAGTTTTAGTTCTGCTGTTGTTCTCTCTAAAAATATTACAAGCATCAATAAGGGAATTTAAGAGTTCATTATAAACCCTTGTTAATAATATTTTTGTTATGCAACAATGATTCTCACTTGTGAGCTTGAGGTACCTATGGTTTGATACATGCAATCCCGTTTGTGGGTGTTTTGATCCGTCTTTCATGAGAAATTGTATGGAACCAATATCCTACATACAATGAACATTCAGATTGTTTAGTTTACCTACCAGCTTAGCATCTTCTGATTTAAAGTCTTCAACTCTGATGACATCCACCTGTAAACAAAACAGAAATATAAATCACCTGTCACAGTTCAAGGAGAAGCTGTGTTTTTGTGTTTTTTTATTTAAGTGATGAGTTAACTGGAGGTGTGACACATCCTTGAAAGAGGATGCAACATTTGAATTTGCATTTGCCCTAGGCTTAAATTTGAATTTGAATACAAAGATGTGGCACAGAAAACATGATGATGATGATGGTCTTTTGTAGGATAAACAGCCAGTCATCTGTCAAAATTTTATCTGCGGCTGCTGATCAAGCTTTAATTTTAATCATTTTGATGAGCTGAATGAGAGTTGTAAATTTTGTTTAAAATTATCCATGATTTTTCTTTGTTTGGTTTCATAGAAGCTTAACTACTGAAGGCTTCTTTTTTAACACTTTTCACTTTTTTCTTAGGGATAGTTGTAAAATACCTAATATTTACCTTTAAGGTCTTGAAATAACGTTTGAACTGCCTGTATATATCATCATCATACCTACATGAATAAGGAAAGAGTAAGTATTTGACACAATCAGAGGAAAAAATGCTTCCAGTTCTTTGATGTGATTGGGAATCCTAGCTTCTTTATGATAACTATGAGTGCTGCAAACACTGTGACTGTTGACTTGACTGGTGAAAATAATTTTGTAAAATAAATTTAAAAAAAGAGTTCTTTAAAAGCACATCTGAATGTAGAACTAGTCACTAATGCATTGCACTTACTTTGTGAGGCGAAGTCTTGATGCATCCATTGCTGAAATAAGCTGCAGAGATGAAACGTTAATAAAAACACATGCACATTATTAACAGATTCCAAGCAGTGTCCTGATGCAATAATTAGAGGCACAGTCCTTAGGAGCTCAGTATACTGAACGCTAACAATAATAATGATTTGCACAGAGTGTATGGTCTGTCAACTGCACAAGTAACTGTCCGCAACAATGCGGCAGTATTGGACATGACTGTTGTACTGTATCTGGGGTGGATCCAGGGGTGGTTCAGGTGGCTCATTCAAATCCCCTGAACTGAAAATTAATGAAAGGGTTTAAACACAAGCAGTTTCTGACAAAAGACATTTTGATACATCGTTAACAAACACTATAATATGTCAACTTTTGAAAAAAGACTACCATGATGAAAAGGAAAAAAAGTAACACTGATGGAGGCGAGTCTTTTCCTTGTTTTACATGCCCTGTCGATCCCATTTTTGAGGAACTCAAGAGTAATATTTTAGTGCACACAGCCAATGTTGTTGAAACAAATTTATATCCGTTATTTCAGATGTATTTTTGATATTGGTCTCAATTTGTGGAAATTTTTTAAGAGTAGTCCTTGTTTAAGATAGCTAAAAACAGAGGTTTTTTCAAAGGCATGAAAGAACCCACTATGATCCTTTAAAACACTGGAAATCACCTTTCCGAGGACCTAAATTTCCCAATTTTCTGGGGTGGCATGCACATGAACCCCTTAGAGAACCCCCCTCCACTAAATTCTGGATCCATCCCAGCTGAGTGTCTAACAGTTAAGCTGTAGACCACAGATCAGGGCAAACTGTAACGTAACAAGAATTGGAGCCAACAATCAAGCCACAGGCGATTCATTTACTGTCGTACTGAGATTGTTGCAAAGGCATTTATGTCTGTTGTTGGTGACTTGGAAAATGTCCTAATTCCTACACATCATACTATGAGGAAAGTTTGTTGTTTTTCTTTCCTGTTCATTGAATAAAACAAACACAGTCAATACCCTGTTAATACAGACAATGAAGGGGCCATAGAAAGCAGGGGAGGATCTAGGGGGAGGGTGCAGGGGGTGCGCACCCCCTCTTCTGAGATAACCTGCGGTTTTCTAATACAACTGGTATTCTGCAAAAAAAAAAACTATGTGGTTTATTGGTGTTGAAGCAGAACAAGAGACGAGTGCACCCCCTCCTAAAAAAAATCCTGGATCCGCCCCTGGAAAGTGTTTGTATTAACAGGGTGTCTGTATTAAGCAGGTCATGTTAATTAAGTCAAAAAGAAACCTTTTATTACAACAAAATTCCAAAAAAATAAAACAGGACATTAGCATCGTCAATTTACACGTCTCTAACCATCACAAAGCCGTCCTTCCATGGACTTATTCCACAGAAACACTAAAAAATCACTTATTCTTATACTACTTAATCAAAAGCATTCTCTGTATGACTCGTTTCACACCATAATTGTCTGAAATTGACGTCTACAATTCACCCTATCCGGTCTACTGTAGTGCTGGAAACATCCGCATGCTGTCAAATGGAGGACTTTTTTTCCCTTCGAAAAAGAAAGGTCTATCACAGCACACAGTTGATAATGAAGTGTCTGCATCATCAAGGTTGACGTTCTATGAATCTGCTGATTGGGCAAGAAAGTAGTCTTCACTGTCCACTTTAATGGGTGTCCGTATAAAGCAGGTTGAACTTAGAAAACCTGTAAGGGCTTTCTCCACGGACAAAGAAAACTGTTTGTAATAACGAGGTGTCCATATTAAGTGGGGTTCGATTGTAGATTTTGTGACCGTATATCTGTTCAGTAATAGATTACAAACAGACCTGCGACTTACATGTCACTTTTATGATCTTGGCATCATCTGTGACCTATTACTGAACAGACACACAGCAAGACGGAATCTATTTGTTGAATACATGAACAAGCAATAATCTTTTACTGTAACGCAAAATGCTGTGCAACCCCAGTAGTTGCACAAATTTGTGACGCACATTGCCAACTTTAATACAATAATACAATAACTATGATGTTTTAAACCAACTACCTTGAAGTATGTTTCAGCTTGATGTTGTGCTTTCATTGCCCAAATCATTTCCACTTCTGCCTGCAAAAAAACATATTACATCACTTTAACTAGATTCAAATTAAGATCTTCAAAAGTGTAATACACTTGACATGGTCACCACCTGACGGCCATTTTTCTGCTCTAGCTCATTACAATGACCACTACCACCAGTGGATTTCAAGGCCCGAGCACAACATTACAACCTGTCAATCGCCAAAAAGGAAGCCTTAACATGAATTTCAAAATGTGGAGACATGGTCATCAAGCCAGTGGATAAAGGTGGTGCTGTCGTGGTATGATCACACCTTCTATACCTTGTTAAAGCAAATCCTCAACTGTCCAATGGCAGATTCTGCAAGCATTTGGATCATGATCCTCTTAAGGAAAGTCAGAACATGGTTATATCAACAATATTTGAAATGATTTCAGACAACCAGCGTCCACCATCAGCACCATCACAATTCTACATGTATCTGCTTCCTATGATCCATAAAGCTGGCAACCCTGGTAGACCAAATAATTGTTTCCGCGTGTTGTTGTCCCACCGAAAACATAGCTTTCTACTTGGATCAGATTATGTGTCCCCTTGTGCACAACCTTAGCACCTATGTAAACCAATGATTTCAATTTGGACAACACAATGACTCGCAAACACTTCCTCTACACCATGGACATAAAATAATATATACTGTTACCCAATAACAGTGGCCTTGAAGCGTTATCTTATTTCCTCAACAAGCATCCCGTTCTCGACCCACCTACAAGAGCATACGCGCACACTACAAAGTTTTTTTGAGTGCTTTTTTTTTTTTTTTTCATGGCGTATGCAAACCTTTCACTGTTTCCAATGTACTTGTGACTCCACTGATGAAGGGCCAGGCCCAAAACGTTTGCAGAGGAACTCAAACCACAAGAAAGCACTTTTGTCCATTATTTTTTGTTGAACATTCCTTTACTTACCGGTACGTAATACAGTTGAACCTGTCCCAAAAGAACAACTAGACATGCCTGGAGGACACAGCTGAGAGGCCACTGTTCATAGACATTGGCCCCAGCGGGAGGTAGGTATTGTGGGGCAAGGATAGAATCATTCAACAATTAAAAGATGCCTATTATAGCACATATTTTACATCACAACAAAAACAAAGTTAGAACCTTGTACTCCGTATCTTCCACAACATGCACACGTGGGATCGATCAGAACAATATACCAGCTGACTATACTCACGTTGTTTTCATATCTAGCTGCGTCCATATCTAACCCTAAGCCACCTTCCATGACGCTAACGATTCTGGATCAAAACACTACGAAAAGCCAAACCTAGAAAGGAGGTAAAACCCAATTTAGTGGACGATTTTTTCAATCGTTACGATGAATCCGCCAAACTGTAACATCCGGCATGACAAACACGTTGAGGTTACTACTTCATGTAAAACTGGTTTTGACAACTTCGTTCCCAGAGCCCGAAAAGGAGGAAGGAGGGATAAAACGAGAAAACCTGGAGACCTTCTTATACCTCATCCACACTTACATCCACACCAACCAAATATGTTTAATTAAACCAGGTTTTAAGAAATGAAAAACAGACACGGAAAACTGGAATATAGGGTTTCACACAGGATTTAAAAGAAATTCAACATGATTTGTAATTTGTACTAAATTTCCAATCAATGCTGTTAGTTAGCAGCTTTTATAAAGGAAATTTAAGCTTCGGTGTGAATGGGGCTTTAGATTCGAGGACGAGAACGACTACGAGTACGAGATTTGATTTCAAGTTTTCTCGCGTATTGTCAAAAAATAGACACCCCCGAATTCTTCATTGTACTTTTTCTTTTTCCACCGGAAAAGTAAGCACTGTTATCGTTATTGGAGGAGGTTAAGCACTCTCCTGATTGCAAAATGCTAAAACTTGTAACATTTGATAACTTGTCTCCGCCACAATGATGACGCTACCTCACTCGCTAGCATTATTTATTATTGAGAAAATGTTGTACTCGTAGTCGTTCTCGTCGTAGAATCTAAAGGTCTCTATTAACAGAGGGACAAAGCGGTCAAACCCGTCTCAGGCGCTTTCATGTTTCAAGTAGTGGGCGCAAGAAAGAACGAGCGCATGAGAGGGAGACACCCGTGTTTTCCTCTTGCGCGCCAGTTCTTCTTGCGCCCACTACTTCCAAGCGCCTGCATGTTGCGCAGGCTACAATTATACAATTGTAGGCGTTCAGATCGTGAGGACCTCAAAGAGATGTGAGCAGAAAAAAAAACCGAAGGGGCAGGAGGTGACTGTGCGACGTTCGCGCCGCACTCAACTATCTCAACGCCTGGAACAAGCCAGTGAAAAGATGGGCAAGAATGGATAAAATAAAAAAACAACGTAAATATCTTCCCTCTTTCTTGCGATACAGAGCACCTTTTCGTTCAGAAATACCATAACATACCATAATGCTCTTTGTTTGTCACCCCAAAATTTTGCATAAGTATTGTCTTCAGTTTCTCTTGGGAGTTAGAAATGGCCCCGGGAGAAACTGAAAACAATGCTTATGCAAAATTTTGGGGTGATAAACAAAGAGCATTATGGTATGTTATAGTATTTTCTGGAGTGGTTAATCCCTTTACAAGGTGAAAATAACGCCGTCCAAAAAGTTTCATTTTTAAGTGTTTTAACGTTTTAAAAAGTCTTTTTACAGGGCTCCTGTTCTTACTTAACACCAGCTTTGACGTATTTTGCTTAGCTTTCACAAATTTCTCTCCCCTGACGCCGGTGAAGGTACCTGGTGCAGTTATCCATTCCAGTCGCACTTATCCCTCCCCTGGGAAATTGTGGCACATTTGCGCCCTTAGCTTGTGCTACCCGGTATCGCGCAGGAGTTGGGCATTTACCTATCCGGGGCTGGGGTCATCTCGGGCTTTTAACACGCAGGTGATTTCCGTGTCAATTATGCAGTAGGGGGATTAGAGGAATGGACCAGCAGTTTGCCACAGATTGGCTTCAGGTGGCTTGTCCTGTATATAAAGTAAAAGGCTGGATAAAGTCGATAAAATTCTGTTCCCAGTGGTTCAAAAGGTGGATCTTCCTATCCACCGAAAAAATTACTATCAAGTGGAAAGCGCACACGCTGGTTCAACAAACGTGGACTGTATACTTCTCTTAAGCGTTTTAATCTCACTTTACCCTTGACAAGTCAGCGCTATACGTTTGCTTCTACGACCTAACTAACTTATAAAGGACACAAAAAATAATTTGCTAAGAAAGGAAGTTCACACCTGGAGGCAAAAATTAAGATTAAAAGAGTCAAATAAGGTTTCATTCCATTATTCACGTTCTAAGACGAGTCAAGGGCACTAATTTCCTACTAAGCGTGGGTCTGTTTGACAATCATAGTACTAATCCTCTCATGTGCGGTTTTCCCGTGTAAGTACCCTACAACATTGTTTGTAGGCCAAAATATTTCCTGTAACGTTAACGGTAGTAAAATAATGGCGTACTATAAAAAAACTACCACAAATATAATGAAACAAATAAACACTTCATAACACTTACGATCCCGAGAGTGGAACATTTGACCGCTTCCTTACACCGTCCAGAGTCGCGCAACGGCGCGTACGGCCTGCGTGGACACGTCTCCGTGTCAGTCTGCACGTAGGTAGCCTCCCACGCAGGCGTTTTTAGGGGAGCTCGTATTTCTTCCCTCCCCACAAACAAAATAAAACAATGAGAAAGGAATGTTGTTTTCCGTTGAGCAGGCGTTTGTGGGGAAAGAGGAAAAACGATGGACTTCTTTATATATTTTTTTTAATTTTTTTAATTCTTATTTTTTTCGCTCGGGGTTCCGCCTCCTCGTTCCTTGCGGCTCACCGCTCGCCTCACGCGTGCTCTCGATCCACTGAGACTCAGAGGAAAGACTGAGAGACTGCTCACAGGGCATTTGGCAGCTGAAGTGTCTCCATCCCTGGGAATTTCAATAACATCCAAAAAAATGCTCGAGATTAACCCAGTGGGGAAGGGCCCAGCTAGAGCTGAATGATCCATTAAAGTTTCCTGTTTACCAACCAACACTTCGTTTACCATCTTCAGGGGCGGATCTAGGGGGAGGGTGCAGGGGGTGCGCACCCCCCTCCCCTGAGATGACCTGCGGTTTTCTAATACAACTGGTATTCTGCCAAAAAAAAAAACTATGTGGTTTATTGGTGTTGAAGTAGAGCAAGAGACGAGTGCACCCCCTCCTAAAAAAAATCCTGGATCCGCCCCTGATCTTTGATTCTTTAACTATTTTATTGCCTAGAAGTAAACACCATATTAGAGAATATGGACGCCCAGTAAGAAATGGTTCATGTCCGGGCCACAGCTGCATCCGTTCCTTATAAAATGAAACTAATGAACTTTCACCTGAAAGGGAAAAAATGACGGTAACTAATAGTGAGAATATTAGAAGAGCCACACGTGACCTGGAAAAGCCACGGGAAGAGCTACAGCACTAGGGAAATAAACAGGAGAAGCGACCGGGAACGCCAAGACAGAAAACCAGGGCAATCAATAACCGACAACCAAGGGGAGAAAAATAAACCGTGACTTGTGGCTACTCCTATGTGCAGTCTCACTTTTGCTCGAAAATCAGTGAGCGAGTGCGATATGTAACTTCTCAGAACCCGCTGCTCGCGGCTTCGCCCCATGTAGGCTCAAATATCGCACTCACTCACTGAATTTCGAGCAAAAGAGAGTCTTCTCGCAGTCTATGTGGTTACAGGGTTAAGAAAGGGGTACCGTGCGCGAAATCACACCCTATTCTAGGAAACGTCAGGGGCGCGGGACGAAATATACAGTGGCGAAATAGTTCCAGACATCTTAATTCACGATTTCTGATTGGACAGAAATTATTTTCAACCGATACTGAAGGCAGTCCAGTTCTGGTTTCAACTGATAGTAAGGACGCGCGCCCGAGGGTTGTCCCGTTCATACTACTGGCTTTGCTAAGGTTTCATCAGTAAAACTAATACACTCCTGGATTTCCAAAGACGGAAACTAGTAGCCCATGAGGCACTGATGATAGTTTCCAACTCAATATCACGACCTCTTTGGCCGCAGGGTGCCTCACCCCTAGGGGGGAACATCCTCAGTTTGGTCAATAAAGAGAATGCGGACCGAACCAGCGGAAATATGTCATAGGGGTAAGAAGACAAACTGCAAACTATTCTTTGGTGAGTTCTCTAATGTTCAGTTCACATATATGCAAATCAATGCACCCCCTCACCAATTGACCACTCCAGAAAATACCATAATATACAATAATGCTTTTCGTTTGTCACCCCCAATTTTGCATAGACATTGTGTTCAGATTCTCTTGGGGCTATTTTAACTCCCAAGAGAAGACAATGCTTATGCAGAATGTCGGGGTGACAAACAAAGGTATGTAATGGTATTTTCTGGAGTGGTCAAATGTCAAGGAGTGCCCCTGGGTGGTCTCCGCGGGACACCACGATCAACGCAGGCTCATTCTGCATCGATCAGACAAAAGACGGCGAGACATATTTTTGACGCGAAAGAGAGCCACGTCTTCAAAAGTAAGTCGCCTTTAGGGTTTTATTAATTTTACTGGCGGTTAGCTGTTATTGCCTGCTGGCAAAAAGGTGAAACTAGCTGTTGCAATCATTAGCTATGTATATAACGAACATACTCTAAGGCTTGTTTGTTTGTTGTTGTCGGCCAGTTCTGCTTCTTGTAAATACGGAACGAAGAAAATATATTATACTCCCTTGACGAGGACTACGAAAATGTCTTGGTTATTACATATGTAAGAAGCACCATTGTTCACAAAAGAAGACTCGCTGTACGCATTTGAAACCTTTGAAAATTAAAGTGATTGGTAAGCATTTTGGCGTTTGCGTGAGCGATGACTTGCTTCCGCCTTCCGGAAAAAATTTGCGAGAGTGGTCTGTAATTATTTCATTAACTTTGTGAAAGAAAGATCGTCAACAATTTCGATTGATACTATCTCGAAATAATCCAAGTAATTATTTCACTAAAAGATGGCTTCTAGTTCTTTCGTTGAAGGGAATATATGTTGAAAAAAAAAACAGCGTTCGTTGTTGATCAAGCATTTGTAAAATGTGAAGTAAATCACCCGTGCATATTTAATGACCCCAAGTGATTATTCGTGACATTCGACCTTCTTGCTTCGGTTTTCTCGGCTTTCATTTGAACCATATGATTTCATAGCTTGCATTTTCGTATGGTAATGTCCATAGGCTATTGTTTTTAAACTATTAAAAGCGAAAGTGAATGCTTTTTTGCCATTGCGGAGGAAAGCGTGATAGTTCACACCCCCAACACTCCCCAATACGTCATCGTAGAGAGGCCACGTTCGCTTTCGAACACATTGTTGTGTTCTCTGTTTAAAGTTTAGTTAAACGTTTCTTTGTAAAAAGACAAACCATA